TGTCAGACATGATTGCCTGGGAGCAGGTTTCTCATTGTTGTCCTTTAGGAGGCTTGTCACCATGGACTTAAATTAAATCTTGTTCAGTCAGAACTAATGCAGCCGTAACAGGCCAGCTCAGGTCAGTCCTAACTCTGGAGATTTACAAGACAACTACTTGAAGTATTTCACATAGTTCGACAAAACATTACGGTCTTCATGTTCTTGCATGCTTAAAAGATAGTGAACAGCTAATGCCTGCTTCAAGGGAAAATTGTCAATTTTCTAACACTCTCTTCGACATATCGCCTGTTATGTTAATATCCAGCTGACTGGTAAGAGCTCATTAAGTACAGGATGCATTAGATGTGCTGTTATCCTCAATCCTAAATTTTCTGAGTTAATACTGATATAGCTGATATTCAGCTGTCCTATTTATTATTCTTTCTGCTATATGAACATCACACGAGATGCCAGCCTTTCACCTGCACCTTTGATTGAGATTCCCATCATCCCCAGTTAATGGCTTATTGTTCCTCCTGGTTATGGTTGATAGGAGCTGTCATTCGACACATTTGAAGTTCACAACGTCCAATTAACATTTCAATGACTATTTCTAGAATCATAGCATTGGAAGTGACTACAAGTGTCATCTACTTTCACCTCACCCTGAATTGGGGTGTCAGACTGGGATATCACACCAGATTTTCATGTTCAGCAGCTTTTTTCCTGCTGCAGAAGAAGGGTTGGATTTTTTTTGGCCACAAAAGTGTTTCATGCAATAATAAAAAGATGGGTGGGACTCCAGTGGTCCATCAGCCTTGTATAGAACTAAGTCATTTTACACATACCCAAAATCTTCTATTCAATGAAAAAATAAGGAAAACAGTGCCCCCAGAAACCTCCTGGGGGCATTTCTCTCCCCTAAACTAAAGCTCTCCATGCCTTGTTTTAGCAATTTATTTAATTTTTTTGGTGGGGGGGGGGTGACTAGATATGGCTAAGATGTCCAGATCTCAAGACCTAGTGAGAGGGAGAACTCTCAGAGTGTGAACTCTGCTTTAGAAGTGTGTGTATATGTGTATTTCTCATTTAATTCTTAATCAGAAATAGTGCAACTATATCTGATGCCTTATGTGCTAATCTTCATGAAATCCCTGGGGGCTGACCCACACAATATTCTCGAGATATCACAAAGACTCAGGGACCCTAGATATAGCCTTCCAGCCATTTCCCGTTTCTCAAGGCCCTTAGATTCTTGGTGTTTCTCTCTTACAGCAGAAGTGAGCAGACTTTAGAGGACAGGGGCCAATTTTCCACAGCTGGATCCAACTGCAGGTTATACCTCCCGTAAGAGAAAATGCAAGTGAAATGAAAAGAGCTAATAAAATAGGAGAGAAGAGGTGGAGAAAAACAAATCATTTGAGGAGTCCTTCTCATTTCAAAGATTTCCTAAAATCCCTAAAGTAGGTAGACACCCCCCCCCCCCCAAAAAAACAAAAACAAACATGCGTTAAGCATCTATTAGTAGTTGCCAAATGTTCCAATTTGGCAGCGACAGTTTTGATTGATCTTCTGTCATCTCACTTTTTTGGCTTCTTTTAAAATGTCTCAATTTCTCTATATCTTCTAATTTTCTCCCTTTGTCATTAACTTGTTGCAAACTGGATTCAAAGTGTAAAAGTAGTTTACACTCAACTAACTTAGCAAAGGGGAAGGGCAGGAGGAAATCTTGCCTTTCCTAGTAAACTCAGGGTGCATCTCCACACTTTAGAATTAATGCAATTTGACACCACTTTAATGACCTCATCACATGGGGCTTTTTTAAAGCATTCTAGGATGCTGCCCCACCATTCCAGCAATGAATGGGCATGCTGCCCATCATACAATGTCAGTGGACTTCCAGTGAGGCCCTGTCCACAACCAGAGTGGAAGCATGATACAATGCTTCCCTTGCAACCTGGGAAGCTTCCTGTGTTGTGCTAGCTTCAATGGAGCCATTACGGATCCACATGGCTTTAGTAACGCCTCCACACCATGTGATGCGAGAAGCATCACTGCAAGGGAGCAACATGTGGAGTGACAGATTTGCCCCACCGCCCCTCAATTTGCAAGCAAAGCCAAACAAAGCGAGATACTTTGTCTGGTTTATATGATAAGGTCCTAACTGCCATGGCCCAATGCTATGGAACCCTGAGAGTTTAATGACATGCCAGAACTACTTGGCAGAGGAAACTAAAATGAGACTACCCTAATCCATGCATCTATAATGATCCCAGTTTTCACACTTTGCTTTCTAGCCATTCATACCAACATGTCATCAGCAGCCCTGTACACATGTCGTTTTGTTTTTTCATGGAGATAATTTTCAGACATTTTTGTTAAGATTGTTGAAAGGAAACCAGGATTTTTGGAAATTCGGGGGAAAACAATTTTTGAAAAATGAGATCCAGGAGCTTAGGGGATATCCAGACCCAAAATGGTGATGGGTGACACCTGCAACGTTTGACTCACTTTAGTGCAAATCATTATCCAGGTTCAAATGATTAGAACATTTAGATCAGAACTAGCTATCGGGGAGGCAAAATGGGTATCTTGACTTTCTTCCTATTAATTTTTCCCTTAGTCCACAAATTTATAGCATTACATAGAATGAAACATTGAAAATCATTCAGACCTAAAAGTCTTAAGTTTTTCATGTTCACATTCCAATGGGATCTATCAGTACTGATCAATATAATCCAGGACTGATCCCCAGCATATTGTACATCAAATCAGCCCTAGTATGGGCCACACAGGGTCTCCCCCAGCCAAGGAAGTCCCAAACGCCTTCTGATTCCAAAAACTGTTCCGTGCTGCTGGAAGGCCATCATCCTCCGACCTTCTATATTGGGGTGTTCTCTGGCTGAAACATGGGTCCTACATCCACTGTCATCTGCTGTGACATTGGCTGGGGCAACAGAGCAAGGAGAAATGGGTAAGAGCGAAGAGGTGAAATCCCCCTGACACCACTCTCTTCCTAAAGCCCTGGCTGATGTCACTGTGGAGACCATCGTAACATGAAAGGGCAGGAGGAGACAATGATTGCCCAAGTCCAGGAAACACAGAATGGCAGCAGGAACAGTTGTGGTAAAAAAAATTCAATTTTGGAACCTGCCCATCTGTTCTGATAGGCACAAAATTAGAGGATAGTCAGAATTATGGGCCGGAATTCAGAGTTTCCCCTAGACTTGGATTAACAAGGGACAAGACCATGTTAAAGTAGCCTTCCCCTCAGAGGCGGCCCTAGGTAATTTTCAATGGTAAGCAAACAGTATTTTGGCTCCCCCCCCCCCCAACCAATCACTGATATATATTTTCTGTTCATCATGGGAGTTCTGTGTGCATATTTGGTTCAATTCCATCATTGGTGGAGTTCAGAATGCTCTTTGATTGTAGGTGAACTATACATCCCAGTAACTACAACTCGCATATGTCAAGGTCTATTTTCCCCCAAGAGCGCCTCAAGAGCACCCCTGGGCAAAATCAACTATACTGCAAATGCTTACTTTGCGTAATGGGTTGAGCCGTCCCTGCTTCCCCTCTTTTACCCCCATATCAGATCTGTGTGGTATTTGGCTACTGGCCCATCACCAACCAAAATGGTCAGTGTAGATGTGCCTTATGTGTCTTTGCTCATTTTTTTTTTGGTTGCCTAAACTGCATTGCTAAATTCTCAACGGAAATATAATGCTAGAAATTTGAGGACAGAAATAAAAATCTATGGAGGAAATGTCCTTGTTTTGTATACACACCCCACCATTTCCTCCACACTTGGCTTATACAAACTTGTATAGAGATTTTGAGTTGATTCCAAAAACCTGTGTACACCAGATAACAAATAAACCCTGGAACTTTTGTCTCTTGAACCAAACTCTTGCAAAACTAAAGTACTAGAAGTATCCTGTGACGGGACAGAAGGCTGCCGCTGAAAGAAGAAAAGTCAAAAACGCTGCTGGGCATGCCACACAAATCCAGTGGCCTTGCTTAAAGTAGCTTTGAAAACAAACAGACCACTTCAAAGAGTTTATTTCTGTTCTTGACATACAAGATCTTTGGATTTCCAGTCCAATAATTTAATTTACATGAAGATTAGTAGTTCCCCGCTTTGTTTTTCTTACATGAGCCTGTTAGGGGAAGGGAGGCTACTGAAATATGTGTGGTCTAAGAGATGCAAGTAGTATAGGCATATGTCTAAATAATCCTTTTCTCTAGGATAAGGGATATAGAAGAGGATGCAAGTAAGAAAAACCGGAGTCAGCAATAGCATATTGATGGAGATAGAAGAGAGTATCATGCAATATTAATCTAAAATAGTCGTACATTTTATTCTCTCTGAAGTCCCATTCAAGCATTTACTATTTCCAAATATCCCAGGAAGCATAATTTCATAAGAAATGTCAATGCTTTGCAGTGTACTGTTTTTCATAGGAAATGCCACTTGTTTACCATATATTATGTTTCTTAGGAAATACAATTCCTTTTAAAATGCCAAATGTTTTGCTATTAACCATATATCTTAAGAAGTACTGTACATTTTACCATATGCCATATTTATTAAGACATGCCACTGTTTCATCATATATACTATATTTATTAATACATGTCTCTGCTTAACGTATCAACCATATTTCATAGGCTCCAACCAATTTTTGACTATACATTATTTGTCTTAGAAAATACTCCTCCTTCAGAAATGTCCATGTGTTACCATCCAACATTTCACAGAGGAAAATGTGGACACATGTGACTAAATATCCCAATGAGATCCAGATAACAACATTTATCAATAAGGGAGAACACACAAGCCAGGGGAGGTCACAGCAGTTTGGCTTTGCCTGTGCCTACTGGGAAGTAAAATATTCTTTTCGTTCCCTTTAAATGAGCGCAAACTACTTTTGCACTTTGAACGCAGCAATTGATCAACCTCATCATGTGGGGCTAGATTCGGCAATAAACAGCATTCTAGCTCTGGTCACCCACAGAGCCAACTGGCTCCAATCACACGACATTGTGCTGGCTCCATTGGTGAAAGAGGGCAGAACTGGTATGCCACTGCCACCCTAGCAACATGGGAGGCTTCCTGTGTTGCCATTCCTTCAATGGAGGAAGCCGCACACTCCATGTGCACACCATGCTTCCCCATTTGAGGAGCTACCAGAGGAGCCGGGCAAAGCAGGATGTGTGGCAGTGACTTTCTGATGCCTGGCAGCGAAACAGAGAGCTGGCAAGAGCCGCTGCTGAAGGTATGATGAGGTGGGTAAACTGAAGACAAAGGGGGGATGTGGAAGAAGGAAAGAAGGGTTGGGATGTTGTAAAAGCAGCTGAAAAAGTGAGATGACAATATCTGTCAAATGAGGGCAGCTGGAAAGTAAAGTTTTGCCTTATATCATAGGAAATACCATTCTTTTTCCTTACAGTTTCATAATATAATAATATTAACACTTTATTTGTATTCCACCCTATCTCCCTGAGGAGACACTACCCACATCTTCTGTTTCCAGCTCTTTTTTCTTTCTCCTTTCTTTCTGTTTTCCTATTGTAAGCCTTTGATGGAATCGGATTTGGGTGGTGGAGGAAGAGAACACAGCTCACTGACAAATTCAAATGTTTGTGTTGGATATTTTTTAAATTAACAGTGAAATCCCATGCATGTTTACTTAGAAGCAAGTTTCACTATGTTTGATGTGGCTGACTCCCAGGTAAGCATGCTTATGGTTTCATTTCAAGAACATTTGTGGTATTTACTATTTATATGCCATAGAGACCAAAAACACAAATGCTCCTGATCTCAAATGATGGGAAAAATAGGATGAAGTTAAGATATAAAATAAGCTGGCTGCTGTTTTGCCTCCCCCAACCTTATTGAAATGACACTATACCTCCCCGAAACTCATTTCTTCCTGAATCCCATAGTTTAATTTGTCCACACCATTTTGTCTGCAGCTATGCAGCAAACTCTTGTTCATGTTGTTGTTGTGTGCCTTCAAGTCAGTTCCAATTTATGGCAATCCTAAGATGAAGTAATTATGGGTTTCAGGTTTATTTGGGTTTTTCAGCTCAGGAGAGTCCCACGTGGACACTTTATCCTGAGACCAATCTGGAGTGTTGAATTCTGGGATGGTTTTAAACAGCAGCCCACAAGGCACTGCAAAAAGCGGAAAGGAGTCCTCACTGTCCAGTGGCACCAAACTAGGCCACTGGGTGGCTACACTTAGCATGCCCTCCTGTTTTCATCACAACAGCAGCCACTGGGCAGGATATTCTAGTGTCCATCACTCACCACCTTGTGAAGTCAGCTGGGGCACCAGAGTGCCATGGAAGGGAGGAGAGAACGAATCACCCCTTCTTTCCCCCTACAATCATCTCTCCAGGTGATGAGTTATAGCCACCAGCCATATTGCATCCAGTGTCTACTTAATAACCCCCCCCCCCCCATGCAGAGTATGCTGATTAACAAGAACTTGTTACCCAACTACTGATGAAGATGAGTCGAAACCAGTTGAATTTTGGAGTCTACTCTTGTATAATAAAGAAAATAGGACATTTACTGTGCAAGAATTTGGAGTCCACTTATCTGTAGTAAACACGCAAGAATTATTTCCACACACATGAAGGGGAATATTTTCATCTTTTGAGAAAAGAATAAATTATTTCTGTTTAATGTGAATGTAACAATCCTGTTTTACTGACATTTGTATTTGTATGCATACATTGAATTTCTATGTGTTTAGATACTTTTGCATCACTGCTATTAGTTGATACTGGTCTTTCTAGTTCCAAGGGAACCTATTTTCCTTTTAAGTACAAGAAGAGGACAATGAGTAAGTGCCATCTCATGTCCCTGGGCCACCTGAGCCCGGGGAAAATGGGATCACCATGTAAATGGTGTGTCTGGTTCTGTTGCTTAATAATAATAATAATAATAATAATAATATGGAAATAATAATAATAATAATAATAATAATAATAATAATAATCTACACCCTACTTTTTCTTTCAACAAAGGAGTCTCAAAACTGTGAATTGGCCTAGCTGCTTACATGTGCCCAAAATCACAGTTTACTCTGGATTCTCAGTGAACATTCAAAGCAACCCACAAACTTTGTTAACACAGTTCAAGGCAGTGACAACCCAAATCAGCTCCATGCATCATGCAGCTGCCATGGAACTGATCCTGCCCCCCCCCTTTTTGTGATAAAGGTTCAGTGTAGTTGTGCTGCAGGATAACCTACAGTACACACCAGAGGCAGTAGAACAGCATAAAGACTGCCAGAGCCAATTCAGTGTGAGTCTGGTTTTTCGTGTCTGTGTAGACTCACTCTAAGATTCGAGTACAACTGCTTTTGGGATGTCATATGGACTTGTGGGATTCATAGTTTTGTGAAATATTAGAGTTCTCTGGCTTGTAATTCTGAATAGCCCTCCATAATTCCACTAGAATTTCCCAAGACACTTAAGGTGGAATTATAGCATTATGAATGTATAGTATGAAAGGACTCTAAGCAAATTTGAAAGTACTATACATACATGAATAATCCTAAAACACAGCAGAAGAATATTTCACTAATTTTCTAACTCTACTTACAGAGGTACCAGTTGTTTTCATCCTTTTCTATTATGAGATGTGTATTATTGGCTCTAACATAAAAACCAATCTCTTAGAAGTGGCTACTAGAACAAAATGCAATAAAACAGCAGGGAGGACCATTGACTTTAAAAAAGAAAATATAGCTTTTTAATAGAACATTAATCTGCAGTTCACTAGCACAGATAAATGTTAACCTTTCTCCTCTCATTTAAAATTAAACTTAATATTTCAGCGATTAACTGAAAAATCAATGTTTCTTCATAGAAAGCCATAGGCGCAACCATCTGCAGCCATTTCTTGGGTCCCTGGTGCACATTTGCTGACAATTTATCTCCTCATAGAATGGTCTGCTGCCTGAGTTTTGTGATCATTGGTCCCAAGGCAACCTCTTTATCTCTTGCTGAGTATATTTTTGTCAAGCCAGTTCTAATACTTATGTTATTACAGCAATATTCTTTATAAAAATGATTGCATTGGAACAAAAGTATATAAATAATCCATGAAGAAATTCCTATAAATGTGAGATTAAAAAAAATATTTTTCAAACAATCAAAAGCACATGAGCTGAATAATGACCTTATCACATGGGGGACCCCCCCGCCCCAATGCCATTTTGCTAGCCAGTGTGGTGAAACAGCAAGAGCAAGGGGTGACTCTGTCTCCCTGCATGACACTGCAATGCTGCAATGCTTCCCCATCACACCGGGGAAGCGTTGCCCAGACAGGACAGAAGTGTGCTGATCCCATTGTAGCCAGCACAACATGGGAACTCTCCCATGTTTAAGGGGAAGCATCCAAGGATATTTCCACCCTGGTTGGGGGCAGGGACTCTGCCAGAAGTCACATGGCATCGTGTGATGGCTGGCGTAGGGCTCAGTTCTCGAAGATGGCTTGAAGCGTTCTAGGATGCTTGTTTTGGTAAGTGTAATGAGGTCCTAAAATGAAACAATGTCTTGCCAGGTCTATGTGAATGGACCACTTTAAGGGCAAATTCTATTTACAACAGCGAATGGAGACTTCTCTCTCTTCATGGCTTCCAGTAAGTAAGTACCCAATGCTCTAACCTAGGGTGCATCTACACTGTAGAATTGATACAATTTAACCTCACTTCAACTGGTTTGACTCAATGTCATGGAATGATGTGAGTTATGGTTTTACAACATCTTTAGACTTCTCTGCCAAACAACATTGGCATCTCACTAAACTACAAATCCCATGAATACATAACATTCGTCCATGCCAAATTGCATTAATTATGCAATGTATATATGCACCCATTATTTATGCAATGTATAAGGCCCCCTGATTGTGCAGCAGGTTAAACTACTGAGCTGCTGAACTTGCTGACTTATGGCAATCCTAACATGAACATGCGCCTGGTGGTGCAGCGGTTTAAATTGCTGAGCTCCTGAATGTGCTGACCGAAAGGTTGGCAGTTCGAATCTGGGGAGCAGGGTGAGCTCCTGCTGTTAGCCCCAGCTTCTGCCAACCCCTTCATGGGAAGGTAATGGCACTCAATGCAGTCATGCTGGCCACATGACCTAGGAGGTGTCTATGGACAATGCCAGCTCTTCAGCTTAGAAATGGAGATGAGCATCACCCCGCAGAGTTGGACACAACTAGAATTAATGTCAGGGGAAACCTTTACCTTTACCTTATGCACCCATAGAGAGAGTAGGAAAGTGGACATTTTTTTCCAGATCCTTGGAGTTTAAGAACTTTGATACCCAACATCATCAAACCTTAATGTCTGTTATAGCCGAGTCTAAACATTGTAATAGAGTGAAAAGGATGATTGTAGAAGTCTGATTTGTTGTGCAATTTCAAGTCTTTTTTGACCTAGCGGGCCCTGATATACCATGATCAAGCGGGGATTTGAACCATGGTCTCCAGAGTCCTAGTCCAACGCTCAAATCATTATGGCACTCTGGATCTCACATTCTTGTTATCTTTTTAAAAAAATAAATTATACAAATTGGGGTTTTCATTCCAGATATTGAAGAAGTCTGAGAGAATGTGCATATGTGCCAGAGATACATTGCAGTCCTCTAAAGAACAGAAAATTAGATTGTTAGTAATCCACAGTAATTGATATCTTGGCAATGCCTTGAAAATGTCATTGCTACTTTCCCATTACTTCCCTTAATCTACAGATGCCACAAAATGTCTTCATTAATATGCCAAAGTGAGAGCAATAACTTTATCCTGTGTTTTGATCTAAAAGGTCACAGCAACAATTATATGGAAGTGACAGATATTTTTCTCGCAGACACTGCTAGGTGAACAATTACAGTCTCCAAGTGTTGGAGCTTTATGAATGAAAAGCTCGTTCATTTTTCTGAAATCTGCATTGCAAAGTAGGGCAACAGCACAAAGTTTATTAAGGGACAAAAAGTTCTTCCAAATTGTAATCTGTGTGTATGTGAGCTGCCTTTTCTATTTTCAGAACATGAACAGTCCGTATTTTCGCCACGAAGTTCTGGCTTGTGAGACTGGTGAGCTGAAAAACTTCTGGGAAAAGACAATTGAGAAGCAAACTCAACATTCTGAAGCAGAAAAAGATCGTAAAAAAAGGAGCGCACTGACAAAGTAGGTCCATAATTTTATTATTTGGCGTTTCATGTAATAAGGTTTTAAAACTTGTACTGGAGAAGATATATTGCAGTGGTAGAAGTGGATGGATGTAAATGAGAATCTAAAAAAGGGCTTTCTTACAACAAAGAAACCAGTGCCCATTGACAGAATTGGGTCTAAATGAGGCAATGTAAGGGTCTGGAAATCAAACCTGATAAGTAGAATTAGTGGAAAGAGCTGGATAATTTTAACCTACAGAAGAGAAGATCAAAGATTGTTGTCGTTGTATGCCTTCTCCAATTTATGGTGTCCCTTAGGCAAACCTGTCATGGGGCTTTCTGGGGACCTATCTACACTGCCATATAATACAGTTTCAGAATGGCATAGCCAAGGTCTTAAACTTGGCATAGCCAAGGTCACCCAGTGGATTTCCATGGCTGTGTGTGGAACTGAACTCTGGCTTCAGACCACTACATCATATTGTAATTGCTTTGTACTCTCATTGGCAATCATGACACTATAGCCCTGACTATCAAATGGCACCCTAGAGAACCTTAAAAGCATATCCGTCACTTGGAACAATTGGAGATCTGCTCTGCAGGGAACGGGATGCTGCAGAATTACATGACTGGTCATCTCCCACCAGTGAGCAGGTTTCCAGGGAGCAGAAGCAGTGACTTCTGTGGAAATGCCTTCCAATCCTTTATTACAGCCTCCCTTGTAGACAGGAGAGGGCTGGTCACTTCATCATGCTGTATCCCACTTGCCAGTAGACCTCAATTGCTATGGCTGGCAGGCTGGCTTTTAATGTTTATGTTTTTAATTGGGTTGATTTTAATGCTGTTGTTTATTTACTGATATGTATATGTGTATATGGCATTGAATTTTGCCTTTGTGAGGCCACCCTGAGTCCCCTTCGGAATGAGAAGGGCGGGGTACAAGTGTGGCAAATAAATAAATAAATTTTACAGTAAGGTTGAATCCTAGTCTTCACAAGTTGGATCAATCAGGCCTGCTGTAGTGTAACATAGTGCAAGTCTCCGGCACTGGGAAGAGTTGAACCAAAAGATTTCCAACGTCCCCTTCAACTGATGCTCCTCAGACTTAATTCCTGAGATGTTATTGGTCTGCAATTAGCAAAGGCCTTAGCCATGGCAGCAGATGGTCAGGAAACCTTGGAATTGTAAACTGAAGAATGATGAGCCAAGTTTGGGAGTAAGCATTTTAAAGGGACCCAGCCAAGAGACTTTTTTTCATGGAAGTGGGGGGGGGGGTGTCGAAAGATGTCATACGCAATCAATTTAAAAAGCACCCCAATCATGTAAAGGGAGGTGTAACTTCAAGACATGACAATGATAGTCTTATGTCCAACCTCACCAATCCCCACTTTTTTTTAGCTGCAGCCCTTCCACATACAACAATTTCTTGGTTGATTGTTATGCCAGCAATAGACAAGCATCCAGCTATTTTCCAGCAGCAACAGGTTTCTGTTGGGACACCCAGAGATTTCTGGGGATACCAGGTAATGATGTTATTGCTACCGGAATACCGGAAAATAGCTGGACATTTGACTACTTCTCCCCCTGCTTTCCACCGATTAGGGAATGTCTGAATTTAAAGAGCTGCAGCTGAGAAAGGTTTTGGTAACTGATGATTCCAACTTACACAATGATAAAAAAATGAGGTCACAGTAGTATAAGTAATATGTACTCCCATAATTCACCAATAGGATTCCAGTCCAATATCAAACAGAAAACTCATTTCATATTACTAAAAGCCTATGAAATGCATTAGTTTGCTTTAAGTTGACAGATGACTTGAAGGCATACACATTGGTGTCACAATCATTCCTATATATCAAGGGTGGCAAGTAAACCTGAAAGATTGATGAAAAGAAATACCTCAATAAATTGGATTAGCAAGACATTCCTTTCCTCTTTCCTTTCACTCTCTTCAAACTTGTTACCATACGTACATTTGCAGGATACAGGAAGAGGCTTGTGGGCCATGGTAGCTGGGGGATTTGAATGGTTTGGGTCCAAAACAAAAAGAAACTTGAGTGGCTTGCAAAATGGGGTTGGCAAGAAGGAAGTAGTACTCCATTATAGAAATATAATGTGTGAGGTCATAAAGCCTTCTCCACAGTGGCATCCCAGCTGGCACCCCTTGAAAGCCTGATTGACACCAGCATTAGTTCCATTCCAGCATTACATTAAAACCTGGCTTTTTATTAACGTCTCTGGGACCTAATGATTTTATCCAGATCTAGTTTTATAACATTTTAAAGTTATAAATTATGCAGTTGTTTCATATGCTTTTATTGTTTTAGATTCTACATCATTTGAACAGAACTGAATGTTAAAAAAAAAACATTCTGGAGATTTTACATATACAAGGTGGAATAGAGCTGCTGTATATATTTTAACTTATTTTTTTAAAGAAGGGAGGCCATAGATTTTAAGGCATGAGTGGTTAGTTACATATTTTTTAACTATGACTCTAATAATTCTTCACCATTTAAATGGTGGCTAGTAGCATATTGTATTCTGCTTTGCTCTAGAAGATTTCAGGCACCATCTTAAAATCCAAATGCTTGTTTTCAAAATGATTTTTTGAAAACATCTCCAAAAACTCTTAAACTGTATTTCTAAACCTCACCTCTGAGCATGTAAATCCAATGGAATGCATGAAACCAAATGTGCCTGGAAGCTGTTCTTATTTTTCAGGACACCAATCCATTAATTATCCTTCAGAGAGTCAGTTTCAAAATGCAGCTACAACCTTTCTTGGCCACGCAGTCCCACAGAGAAACACAATAAATGTATTGAGTGACTGCACTTGACAGGTCCAAAATGGCAACAGTTCATATCATCATGCCAGCAACTACTTCCAAAGGAATACCTGCAGATTTTTATCAACGAATACACAGATCACACAAAATCCAGTTACTAGTTCCAAGTAGTGTTGACTTACTCAATCAGTGAGATTATATTTACAGTTGAGAGAAACATGGGAAATCAGTGGAATTTACACACGAATTATGTGTTTGATTACAATTCAACAGCCTGATATAGTTGGTTTGAGTATTGGACTGAGACCCCTGGAACATAAGGATTTGAGTGAACTTTGGGTTTTTATTCAGCCCACAATACTGAGAGCCGCTGTGGCATAGTAATTTGAGTGCTTGACTGAGATTCTGGGAAATCAGGATTCAAATGCTCATTCAGACTTGAAAACCCACTCAGTGAACTCAGCAGAAAGCATTTTGCTAGTTATTTCTTCTGAAATAGAGGCTGCAGTACCTGGAATTCATTGGTGGTCTTTCATCCAAACCAGGATTGACCTCTCCAAAATCAGGCAGGATTTGGTACTGTTGGGATATTTAGATCCCTGAATCTGATAGTCCCAACTAAAGTGGAAATTGTTTGTAGTTGCTTTGTGCCTTCAGATTAAAGCCAATGTATGGAGGCTTTATTACAGTCTTTTCTTATTCATAAGAGATTTGCTCTTGCTTTCCTCTAAAACTGAAAGTGTGTAAGATAATAAATTATTGCCACCTGACTTTTTAGAGCCAATTTAATATAGGGGTTTGAACATTGGACTGCTATTTTGAAGACCAGGATACAAATCCCTCCTCAGCCATATAATAATAATAATAATAATAATAATAATAATAATAATAATAATAATAATAGCAACAACAACAACAACAACAACAACAACAAAAACTTTATTCTTATATCCCACCACCATCTTCCCAAAGGGACTAAAAACAAACATAAAAGTGAATACAATATTAAATACAATAAAATAAAACACATGCAGATATAAAAACATCAATTCAGACTCAATCAAGCTGTGATCTAACCATGGAAACTTAATGGTTGGCCTTGGGCAAGTCACACTCTCTCAGGGCGCTTCCACATAGTTACTATAATTTGGGAGATAGGTTAAAAAGGGGTGGGCAGATGATGTTTGTGCTAAATGCACAATCAGTTGCACCAACTGAGGAAAAAACCTATTCAAAAGGGTCTTCCTTTATCCCGGTTTCAGGTGTAGCTTTGCAGTCATGTAAAGTTTGGGATTTCCCTCTTTACCCCCGTGGAGACTGCTTTCTGCCCTAGCAGTTTTTAAAAGCCTGAAACAGCTGATCAGCTGTTTGGATTCTCACAGAGACACAGCTGATTTCCAACTGGTTTAAAGAGAGGAGAAGCAGAGAGCCATTAGCCATCTCTGAAAGTGCTTATTTTAAATTTTCTAATATTAAATAAGCAATTGGGGAAAGAGGGGAATTTGTTAGTAGTTTTTGTTGTTGTTGTTTTTAAAAAAAGTCTTGTCATTATGTGCGTATATGCACACATAGGAATCTCTCCATATTTGTATTAGGATATTTGCATGTGCACATATAAGTATCAGTGCATTTGAGTGATTTTTAAAAAACTGTAAAAATTGCATCTTGTTGCTAACAGATTTGTATAAATGTCTAAAAGAGCCATAGGTGGCTTTTAGAAACCTTTTGCTGTTGCCAAATATTTCACAATCCCTGTTTTCTATTGTGAGACCCCATTTGGGATTAGATCAGGCAATGGCAAACTTCAGCCCTCCAGGTGTGTTAGGATTGTGGGAGTTAAAATCCAAAACACCTGGAGGGCTGAAGCTTGCCATTGCCTCAGTCAGATCCATAGTTTAAGAAACAGTGCTCTAAAGCAGGGGTCCTCAAACTAAGGGCCGAGGGCTGGATACCACCCTCCTGGGTCATTTACCTGACCCTCACTCAAGGTCAACCTAAGTCTGAAATGACTTGAAAGCACGCAACAACAACAACAACAACAACAACAACAACCCTATCTCGTCAGCAAAAGCACGCCCACACTTCCCATTGAAATACTAATACGTTTATATTTGTTAAAATTGTTCTTGATTTTAATTATTGTATTTTAAGTGTTTTTTGCACTACAAATTAGATATGTGCAATGTGCATAGAAATTCATTCATGCTTTTTTCAAATTATAATCCTGCCCTCCAACAGTTTGAGGGACTGTGACTTGGCCCTCTGTTTAAAAAGTTTAAGGACCCCTGCTCTAAAGGATATTGCACATCGCAGTCACAAATACAATACATTGATCCCTCACTTATTGCGGGTGTTACATTCCTGGACCACCTGCAATAAGTTAAATTCCACAATGTAGGGATGCCCCATCACCTTCCCTCCTCACCCTCCTCACCTTCCTCTTCCTCCTCCTCATCACCACATGTGGCCTCTTGCCACTGCTTGGGCCCCACAATGCCTCCTCAGTCGCGGGGTCCAAGCGGTAGCAAGAGGCCCCATGTGGCAATGAGGAGGAGGAAGTCAAAGGTAAGGAGAGTGAGGGGACAGCTCTTCTTCCCCCCTCCCTCACCCCCCTTACCTTCCTCCTCTTCACCGCCTGGGGTCTCTTGCTGCGATGCATAGGGCCCAAGTGGCAGCAAGCGGCTCCAGGCAGCAAAGAGGAGGAGAAAGAGGAAGGAAAGGGGGGCAAAATTATTTTTAAAAAATGCTAAACAGCGAGTCTGTGATAAATGGACAGCAAAGGAGTGAGGGACCACTGTAGTCAGAATGTTAAAGAGACCCCTTGTGAATGTAGCCAACCAGCAGTGAAATGATGACTTTATTGACCATCAAATTTCTTCCTGCTAAGCAATGCAAATGCTAACCAAATACCTCTCTCCCAATTAGACTCAGACAAGAATGGAAAGAAAGGCTGGAAAAAAGGCTGAAGATGCTGGAAGAACAGGATGAGAATGAAGAAGCCCATAACTGATCATCACGTACATCTGTGTTTGACAGAAATATTGCCATAAGCTAAATTGAAAGATAAAAGTTTGTGTTGAGGCAAAGTCCTAAAGTATGGCTGTTTTCATTCAGAAACTTCACTGAGTTTGTGTAGGAAATCCATGCACTGTAGATACTACTTTTTGAGTGCGTCTTTGAATATTTGAATCCATCAAGGGGCTAGTACAGTCACCCTTTATATTCCTCTTGAAAGCTTTCTTGGCACTATATCATACGTTCCTAATTGGCAATTTATTGTTGATATTATGGATATTAGATTTGTAATATAAATTGTCCTGTTTTTTTTTCAGGCACTTCCAATGTTATGTTGTTTTGCAGCTTTTCATCAATTATGTAGAGCCACAAATAAATTTACTAGATAAAGAAAACATCAATGTTTTGTGAATTGCTAACAGTTTAGAGTCAAAGAATGTCTAAATGACATTCAGTTCAAACAGAGTTAGCACCTCTCCATAGTTGCCACAGGGCTCAATACACAGCCTTGTTTCTCTTACAGGATTGACTTTTCAAGTGCTTATACATTCCATATTTCATATATACATTTAAAATATGGGTCAAAAAACTATGAAAATGTCTTGGTCTTGTTAATCTAACAGTTATTCCCATGACTTTAATGGATTAGCTTGCATGAATTGTCAGGGCCATCCCAAGCATTTTTGGTGCCTCAGGCAAAGGACAAGATGCTCCTCTGTCTTTCCTTGTACAGAAGTACAATGTACCAGCCTGATATTTGAATTTTATTTGAAACAAGACTCAATTTTACAAATTTTGTTAGAGAATTTTATTACAGACAAGACAAAACAACACACCTGAGAGCAGCAAGTAGTTTAGAAGATGGGAAGCAGGCCACATGACACATTGAACTCTATTTCCAACAGAGAAGAGTGTTTATCCCACTCTGGCTGAGTGCTGGCCCTCCTAGAGAAATTTTGCAAGGTGAAACAAGACTGCTTTTGGATTCTGCTGGAGTTGCTCTTCTCAAAACTGAGAATTCTTTTCAGGGGAAGGCCATTGGAAGCTCCTTGACTCTCCTGGTCTTGGGCCAATGCACCAGCTGAACTTCCCTCTGTAGACCCAGGCTGAAGACAGGAACAGCCCTGTAGATATTCTGCCTCTTCACACACACTGATGGAACCAGCCAGTATCACTGGGGATCGTACCAATATTGGCAGCACCCATCCAAAGGGCACGGAAATCTGTCACCCCGCACTGTCCCAGATTCCCCCCACCTCATCACATGTAGGGAAACCTGTTTAAGCCGGTTCAACCATCTTTCCCAATGGAAAGACAGGGAGCCTCCCATTGTGAACAACCAGCAATTTTTTGGCAATGGCAGGGCTTTTTTCCAGCTCAGCCTCAGAGCCTCCCAGAAATACTTCTACAGGCCATTGGACTCAGTGGAAAAACTTGCAAATACCTGTCATCACCACCAAAAATAAGCCCATGTGAAGAGGCCAATTGTCAATCGAATGCATTAAGAAATAAGACTTGAGAAACTGCAAGTCACTTCTGGTGTGAGAGAATTGGCAGTCTGCAAAGACGTTGCCCAGGGGACGCCCGGATGATTTGATGTTTGTATCATCCTTGTGGGAGGCTTCTCTCATGTCTCTGCATGAGGAGCTGGAGCTGATAGAGGGAGCCCCTCCGCCTCTCCCCGGATTCGAACCTGCGACCTGTTTGTCTTCAGTCCTGCCGGCACAGGGGTTTAACCTGTGAAATAAGACTACTATAAGGGATGGCAAATAGGACACTCATTGTCACATTGAAGGAATGACATTGTCCAGCATTTCCAAGCAGAATACACGAGGAGCCTCAACTGACATTTTCTGAGATACTTAGAAAGTTGTCTGTGATCTTTGGTCTCTAATTACCATTTCATGCAAATGAGCAATAGTTAAAATAAGGCCAAAATCTTTTTTGAAATTAGTGGAGTTCCAGCAGCACAGTTGTGCTGGAGGACTGGGAGGATACAGGAGTGCAACAGAGTGAAGGCATGGGGAAGCTTTCCCTGCACACACTTCCATAACCACTCATTAGTTATTTCGATTGGGAGTACTTCTATATAAAGGTAGCATTTGGCTGATGTTTAGCAGCCAGGGAAAAGTCTTCTACAAGGAGTAAAAGTTACCTCCTTGTGTAATGTAAAAAAATGCAATTATGCTACTTAACCAGCAGCTTTATCAGAATAAGTAATCAAAAGCAGTATGGCATTTGTCATCTGTCCTGATGAACATGTGCCTGTGAAAATATGCCCCAAGAGACATCTCCCCTTAGTCTTCCCTGACATTCCCTCATAAGACTATTTATGTAGCATATCTTTCTGTACCATGAATATCTGAAAGCCCTCTAAGCTGTGATGGATAGAACTATAAAATAGTTTTCTTTTCAAGTTACCAGCAAATAATTAGCTGATGTTCTCAAACTGTTTTTTAATGTTTCTTATGCAGATATGAAAGACCTCTATAGTCATCTTTTGAGGTACATAATTCACTATTCCCTTTGTCTCACAGAAAGGAAAACTTCAATAAAGGGTTTAGAATTTTTAGAAACTCAGTATGAACCAGACTAATAGAACTCACAAATTCACATTTCAAAGCCTTATTTGTTAGAAAACGCCCAGGTTCCCCTCATTCATATTTTCCCCGCCTTGCCCCTGTTAAAATGTATGTTGAGTTTTCCTATTACAAACAAGATACTTGTACAACCTTAAAACATACAAACCTGGGGAAAGTGTCATGAATTTTAACATGATTTTCTGTATTACTGAACATTCGGCATCCATTAGTTTATGTAGCTTTTCATAGTCAAAGGCATTTGCCAAATATTGAATGGTAGGTGGGGTAGCAAAGAAGAGGAGGAGGGAAAGCTGAAGCAAGATGGGATTCGGATTGCCAGATTAAACAGCATGATGTTTCTTCTCCAAGTCTCACACCAAGTGGAGAAACCTTAGAGCAAGAGCAGTGTCCTGAAAATAAATGTTATCAAGAGGTTGTTTGTGTAACGATGTTGATCCTGTTGCTTCAAACAATTATTGTAGACTCTCCAGGGAGTCCTCCTGGCCAACTTCTCCACTTTCTCCTATCCTATCACAACCAGGAATTTCTGCCTCAGGTTCCAAAACATTTATCCATTATAGTATTCACCTAATCTTAACGCAAAGTGTGATACAACATTTGTGATGCACTTCACGTATCAGTATGGCTTAGGACAATGCAAGGGCAAGACAGAACAAGATCATTTGTTGCTTTATCTGCTTTAGATAGGAAGGGATTATAAATGTGATTTCCATATTATACTTGGCACTTCATACCCACAAATTTTGCATCCAAGGAATCAACCAACCACAGCTTGATAATATCACACACACAAAACAAATTCCTACAGGCAAGCCTTGATTTGCCATTTTATATAAGAGGTACCAGTTTATCAAATCATTGTATATAATGGGACTGCAGCATCCATGGATATTGGAAGCCAGAGAAGCTCCCAGAACCAAATCCCAGCGGATACCAAGACCTACAGTAGAAAAGCTATTGGACACTGGGGATAGGATCAAATGGATTGCAAAAAAAAAAAAAGGTTCAAACAATTAATGAAATAATGCTCAAATTCCCATGATTAAATCTCCACAATCCATATGTTTTTACCTTACAATTTACATCTAGCAACAGTGGAAGAGTATTGAGATGCTAAAAAGAAAGTGGAAAATCTTTTAATTAACACATTTTCACATTTTCTTTATGTGAACACAGCAAACATTTTTTATTGCTGGATTTAGTTCCATTTTCATTTTTGCCATGAAACTCACTTTTAATGTCTGTAAGAATTATTTTGGATCCACTTTCTACAGAAAATTATCTATATTTATACACATACCAAAATCCTAAATTCAATTTCTCTCCTTTTTTTTTCCAGGGGTGATCTGGTGAGCAGTTTTATAAATTACTCACAGCAAAAGTGTGCATTCCCCAGTAATAAATACAATTTAAGATCAATCAAAGCTAAACTTCAAGTATAAAATGCCAAGAAAGTAACTAAATCAGAAGAAGAAACATTACTCAATAAAATCAAAGGCAAATTGGAAAGACAGGACTATAAATCTTTCATTCATTGTGAAGGTCTTTATAAAGAAAAAGTATCAAAGAAAGCAAAGACAAAACTTGCAGTCTTTTTTTTTAAAAAAAAAAAAACATATACAAACCTGAAAACAGATATCCCAAAGCAGCATACGATCACAGCTTTGTGGTCTGCCGCAGTTGCAGTCTTGTGATCAAAGACCAATACTCTCAGGATCACAGTGAACTATATCTGCACAGCAACCCTTTCTTCCAAACTTGCAAAACCTGAAGCTAGTGCTGAGTCTTATAAAAAGAAAGTCAGATGTGCAACCATATGAAAATATGGCATCACTCCCCCAGCCATTGTCTTTGTTGCCTGAACCGGTGACAAAGCTTATGATATTTTATATTCTCAGGTAACGTTGACTCCTGTTTGTCAAGTGTTAATCAACATTTTTCAATTTACAAATCCCATGGATGTAGGCAGGATCCTTGGACAGATGAGAGCCAGCACATGCATGTTAGGTCCTTGCCACTCTTGGCTTCTTGAAAAATAAAATCAGAGGAAGGCAAACTGAATCAATAGAAGGAATGGTCAATACCTCACTATATAAACACATGAAAGAAAATAGTTGTAATTCTGCTGCTGGAAAAAGGCACCCCCAGATCCCATAGTACTGGATAACAATGGCATAGTTCTAATATTACACTTCTAGACAAGATACTATTATCTATATCTAGTTCAATCTCATTTCAGGCCAGCTGTGAGAAAGGAAAGCCTGGTTACTGGCAGATATAATCATAGAGTTGGAAGAGACCTCATGGGCCATCCAGTCCAATCTCCTGCCAAGAAGCAGGAATATTGCATT